TAAAGACAAAAAAAAAAAAAAAAAAAAAAAAACTACTAGAAACGTACACGGGTTGGAAAAATCTTTTGGGTCAATCCAAAATTTCAAGTTGGTTGGGTCTGTGACCCGAGTAACCTAAATAGAGTTTACAAATTAACCCAACCCAATTATTAAAAAAAATGCATACATTCACAAGTCACAACATATTACTAACATCAGTTGAACTCTATTTTTGAATTTGTTGAGTTGACCCGACTAAAAAAATGTCAATCCACAAAAAATTCAACCCAACCCAACTGAAAAAAAAACTGACCAAACCTAACTTTTATTGTTTTGATTGGATAGTCTGGACTAGTTGAATTCTCGAATCATTTAAACATCCTTAAGAACTAGCTAAGATGATATAAAAATTAGTTAAATACCCAAAATGCCTTGGTATGATATGACATAAAAATTAGGTCTTACAAATTATATGCTCTCGATTGCTGTCAATTTTCAACTAGTTTGTCCTTGAACTACAACATACTGGAAGAGGTCTAGCTCTAATACCTAAAACGCCATAGGTCTACCATTTAGAATCCATATTCAAATGTTTATGGGTCTAATATTTTCTTATACTCGTTATGTTATAGATGAGCTATCTATTTGTATTTGTAACAAGAGTGAAGATTACCTGTAACGACCCAAAATTTTCGACTTAATTTAAGGTCGCTACTGTATACATACCATAAATATTGAATGCGGAAGACTTCATTTAAATTCCATAAAACATAACCTTTAACTTAAAACACAGCTATGAACTTACGTGTTTCGAAAAAATCTTTAAAACGACACAACAAAAGACTCGAAATAAAATAAATAAGCGTTTAAGTTTAAAACATCATATTCTATCCTAAGTCTAAGAAAATAAATGCCACTATCCTATGCATGTGTCATGATCTTGAGTTGCGATGCCGTCATCAGCCGTACAGGAATGTCTTGCCTTAACTTGAAAAATGTAGTAGCACATGGCTTGAGTATTTAAAGAAATATTCAGTAAGTGACTCCACTATTGGGGTTAAATGCAACAATCACATGCAATGAAATGATGGGACCTATCTTTCGTTTCGTTTCGTTTCGTTTCCCCTACGGTGTAATCCTAACAGGTAATCGTGGACGTGTACCATATACTCTACACACAGCCCATACGTGCGAGTATGGGCTCACCAGCTAGTTCGCACACCGCTGGGCCATTGTCCCTAGCCGGTGGGCATGCTCTGGGGGCCCACCGGGACCCGTTAAAACTAAAACCGTCACGGCAGCGCTATGTAGACATAACGATCGTTGTCTTGCCATTTGGATGTACGCGTCCGTACCCTCGTGATGGGATAGGGGTATCCCCCCAAATGCATGATCACACAATATGCATGAGGTCCCACTAGTCCTACAATCATCATTTAATGAACATAACCCCGTGTCACGTTTTCATGCTTACATGTCATTCTCATTCTCATTTCGTTACATATCATACATATTCCTAGCAGGGTTATGTATCATACAATTTACCGTATTTCATGTCATACAATTCATTCAGTTACATTCCAATACTCATACAACAAGCCATAATTGTACAAGAGCCACACATCGTCACATGCATTCATATCACATCAACTAAGCAGCATAAATAACATACATTCACGTTCACATGATTTCGTACTTAAGCACAATAATCTAGCATATAATGTATCATATCATAACCGAGTCATAACGTAAACACTTCATAGTCATATCGTTCTCTAACTTACCATAGCCTTAACGTTCTTATACCTATCACAGACATATCATTACGTGACGTATCTTAGTCATATCGTCACAAGAACGTACCCTAACGCTATCGTTCTATCAATCTATCACAAACCTATCCCTTTCTACCCATAACCTAACCGTATTCTTTCATCAATCTCTCCTATCCATAACACTCCGGTATGTAACCTAACTCTAACGTTTCATGAACGTATCTTACTCCTATCGTTACATTTCGTTTTGTGCATCCTTCTTGTACCCTATCTCAAACATATCCTTGAGCACATCGTACCATAATTATTATCATACAAACCACATATTATAACATAACATAATATATAGGAAGCATATCGATCCACAAACAATTCACACATATCAATATATATGACACGTACAGAACCACAAGGCACGTGTCAACATCAAATATAACCATGCCGATAGTAAGGTCACTTACCTAGCTCGCTTAAGTCATTGTCACAAATATATCTTTAATGAAAGTTCGATTCCGTCCTTTGAAATCCGAGTCAACCGTAATAACGGACAAAAATCTCTAAATCTGCAATCTATTGAAAGCCATTGTAATTCTTCTCATATAGGAGAGATAATTGTGGGAAGGGAGGAAGGGTTAGTGGAAAGAGGTGGGGAATAATTTTTTTTTTTTTAATTCTAATTTTAACTAATTAATTAATTTATTATTATTATTATTTTAACTATTTTTTTTATAAAGTTTTTTTTTTTTTTTATTTCTTTATTTATTTTTCGGCTATTACATTACCGCTACCCACGCATTTGATCCTCGCTTATTTTATCTTAATAAAATAATTAGATATTTAAAATTATAATTAGTGGGTATGTTGAAGGTGGAAAATATATATTATAATAAATGCTTCTTTTGTTGTTTATTAATATATATTTCATGCAATACCACATTCAGTGGTTACCAAAAAATTTAGAATTTAATAGCTAACCCATACAACATTTTTTATCTTTTAAAAATTAAGTTTATAAATGCTTTTACATTATTATTTTTTAATTATGAATTTTTTTAATTTTTTTTTTAAAAAATGGTTCCATTTGCCTTAATTTAGGAAGAAAATATAATAAATATGTATCCCAAACAATTGGTTAAAGTCTAGTAAGCCTATTTAACCAAACTCAAATCAACCAATTATCAACCCTTAATCATAAATCAAATTTAATTTATATATATATATACGTCACATGTCCAATATGTGCAAAAAAAAAAATATTTAAAATATTTTATAATAGGATGATATGGACGTAAATTTTTTAAAATTCATTTAAATGAAAGTAAGCATTAATGTAAATTAAATAAAAAATGAAATAACAGTAATGTAACTACCTAACTTTGGTTTTATGACCTTATTTAAGTAGCACATGACTTGAATATTTAAAAATAGTCAGTAAATAGTTCTATTCTTGGGGTTTAAAAAAGTAATCACAAGTATTCATAGTAGGACTTATCTTTTCATTAAAAATATCTTGAACTCTACTTTCCAATCGGGAGAAAAATAGGATTTGTTGTATAATACAGTCACTCATTGTTTATAGGACATTAGAAATCCATGTATGTTAATTACCAAAGATATGACAAGCATTATGTATACATGTCTCATAGGGCGTCGTGAAAAGAATAAAGGTATGACGTGCACCATATATATATGACATGATTTGAGACTAATGAGATTTCATGCATCTTGTATGACACATGCAGCAAGTCGGGATACTTTCTTGTTATGATGAGTATGGCGTAGGTTGTGTTATCTATGTTTCGCCAAGATATTATTTTGACTCCTTTCCTTCCATGGTTACGATAGCATAGCGTATGCTAGATGAAAGACAGGTTTAGGGAGTACAGATATGCCCGCCTAGTCAGTTTATACATACATGTGTAGGCCATGTGTAGAGAGTATTGCACGTCAATTTTCGTCTCACCAAGAAGCTTGAATTACATTTTCCAACCTCAACACTGTGGCTACGTGATACTTTCAATAAAAAATGAAGCATACATTAAATTTAAATGAAAAAAAAAAAAAGTTAAATGTTTGGAAGTTATGTATTAGTAGTTGTTCATGAGTGGCAATGCTATCATCACACTATCTCGTAAAACAAAAAAAAAAAAAAAAAAAAAAAAAAAAAAAAAAAGGGAAAAATAATAATAAATTACATCTTCATTTATAGTGGAATTTCAAGTTAACATTCTTGGGAATTTGTCCATAGAGCTTTTGAAATGATCCAAGCAGCTCCCAAAAGAATTGGCCCACAGCAAGTAACTTCATAAATCTGCTCCAAAACTTGCTGCTTTCTGGTGTGTTTCAAGGACCCTTTGAGATAGATCCAACCAATACCTCTCATGTGTGTACTGAGACGACCTCGAGATGGGCTAAGAGGGGCTCACGATACCTTTGCTACCGTTCGGCTCGACACGCCGTGCAACAACTTCACAAATCCAAGGAAGCTTAGCTTCCCATCGGTGTGTCTAATCCAATCTTGAAGAACAACATGGAGCGGGATGGCCGGTCCAAGACCAAGTTCCTGCAATATTTGAGAGATGATATAACAAAACCCTTTGGATACAATTTGGTATATCACGAGATTAACAGTTACCACACACAGGAAGGACGACATTTCAGTAAAAAGCTCGAACTAAGAACGACATGACGAATTTTGGAAACATTACGAGTGGAGGGTTTCGTTTCAGCTTACAGAGGCTAGTTCTTCTATGACAATGGCTCGGTTTCCATTCTTCTCGAAAATCTCATACGCACAACGAGCATGTTGTTCCCAACGGTCGAGTGCTTCTAGCTGATGAATGCTCAATGCAGCAGAACAGAATTCTTCGAAATCCATTCCTCTGTATTGAAGTGTATTTAACTGTCATGGAAACAATTCCTGATTAGTAGAAACTAGGAATTGTGCGAGCTTTGTAAGCATACATAAATACAGCTTGTTGCACAGAGCGAAAAACAGCAAAAGATTACATTCGCAAGAAAATCTAGCATACGGGACTCGTTCATCGCATCAGTTGCGTGTTTCGTGACACCCTGTCCAAAATAAGGATGACAATGTTAGATTTCCACCATTAACTTCGTTTGTTTGTGTGTGTGTGCACGTGCATGAGAAAGCGAGCGCGAACCATCTTAATCGTCTCCAAAGTTATAAAGCCATTTTTGTTCGGCTCCATCAATTCGAACTGTTGCCTTAGATAAGTGAGTTCGTCTACTGTCAATGTCTTGGATACAGCCTGCAGAGTACACATTAAAGTTATATGGGATCATGTATAAATTCATAATACTTGAAATCAGTCAAACTGCCTTTATGTACTAATAATAGGACCGTGTCAACACTCTCAACTTCTTCCACACCCTCTGTGAGATCCCACATCGGTTGGGGAGGAGAACAAAACACCCTTTATAAGGATGTAGAAACCTCCCCGTAGCAAACGCGTTTTAGAGCCTTGAGGGGAAGCCCGAAAGAGAAAGCCCAGGACAATATCTGCTAGTGGTGGGCTTGGGACATTACAAATGGTATCAGAGCGAGACACCGGGTGATGTGCCAGCGAGGAGGCTGTTCCCCGAAGGGGGTAGACATGAGGCGGTATGCCAGCAAGGACGTTGGGCCCCGAAGGGGGTGGATTTTGTGGGGGTCCCATATCGGTTGAAGAAAGAAACGAGTGCCAGCAAGGGCGTCGGGCCCTGAAGGGAGGTGGATTGTGAGATCCATATCGGTTAGGGAGGAGAACGAAACACCCTTTATAAGGATGTGGAAACCTCTCCCTAGCAGAGCATTTTAAAGCCATGAGGGAAGCCTGAAAGGGAAAGCCCAAAGAGGACAATATCTACTAGCTATGGGCTTAGGCCGTTGCACCCTCATTTTTTGTGTTATCTGTGTCGATAAGTGTAACTAGCTAATGGCTCTAAAGAGAAAAAGTTGGGAATACAAAGCCAATATAAGCTAGAAATTTACGTAACTAGAACTGTATTGGTCAGAAAAGAACAAGAAATATTCTTCTTCTAAACTAAGGGGGGAAAAACAATCCATTCCTATAATAAACATGAGAGTACGCACCCGTAAAGCAGCCTTACGTAAGGACGATGACCGCATATACATTCTCATGAGCTTGAATATTAAGATATCGATAGGAACCTTTGCTCCGTTGTGATTCCGGATCCAAGGATGACCTGCAAAAGGATCATTGCAGAGAGTTAGGACATTAAGTAAGTCAAACATCATAAGAAGGGAAGAAAGGAGCATACTTAATGCTTGTGCAGCAGTCAATCGTTTGCGTGGATCCTTGTTTAGCAAGCGTTTGACGAAGTCCTTCGCTTCAGAAGATAATGAAGGCCATGGACCTTCATCGAAACTTAGATCAGCTTTCAAGACTGCTCGAAAAATTCCCGACTCGGTACGGGCCCAAAATGGACGGCTACCACATAGAAGAATGTATGCAATCACGCCTATACTCCACACATCGGCCTCTGTACCGTAAGATCTATGGAGAACTTCGGGTGCTACGTAGTATGCACTTCCAACTATGTCATTAAGTCTTTCATCTATAAGCCATGACAACAAAATTAACACCACCATCTATCTAGTATGTGAGAAATCAACAGCAAAACGCTGGAAAATAAGACGAACCTGGTTTGACAAAATCTGATAAGCCAAAGTCAATAGCCTTTAACTGGGCGTTCTCATCTTTAGATGTATACAAGAAGTTCTGAGAAACTTAAACTATTAGGATATAAAATAAATGAATAAAACTTCTATCTACAATTGACTACAGCAAATAGGAAATGTAACATTCCAAGCCCAAGCCCACCGCTAGTAGATATTGTCCTCTTTGGGCTTTCCCTTCAAGGCCTTCCCCTCGTGGTTTTAAAACGCGTCTGCTACAGAGAGGTTTCCACACCCTTATAAGAAAATTCCCTCTCCAACCGATGTGGGATCTCACAATCCACCCCCTTGGGGGCCCAGCGTCCTCGCTGGCACACCACCCAGTGTCTGGCTCTGATACCATTTGTATCAGCCCAAATCCACAGCTAGTATACATTGTCCTCTTTGGGCTTTCCCTTCAAAGGCTTTTCCTCAAGGTTTTAAAACGTGTCTGCTAGGGAGAGATTTTCACGCCCTTATAAGGAAATTTCCTCTCCAACCGACCGATGTCGGATCTCATAGGAAAACTACACTTCTATATTTCTCTTAGGGGAGAAAATTACTTTTAACACTATGAAGAAAGATTGATCACTAGCAAAGAAATAAAAAGATAACCCTTCCATAACTTTGTTTTACTCAAGCATAGGGATTGCAACCTAAATTTTTTACTTCTTCATCTGACGGATGAGGAAATATAAAGGATAACTTGCAACTGAATTATGCCAATGAACATCTGGCAATTAACCAAAACAGGAAACACGTCACAAATGATCAGGTTCCGTAAGGGTTGGCTTTATACATTCCGATATCAGATAAGGGAAACAATGCAGTTTTGGTGGGGCTGGGATATGGGAAAACAGGGAACAAGCCTGTTGGGTGATTCGTTTAGAGCTGTTGTGGTTAATTGTAACGTGCCCTAGGACATCTTGTGTCATTACCAATGAAACGTACTTAAAAAGTAGAGAATATGATTAACCTCGGGTTTCAGATCTCGATGCACAACACCCTGAAGATGACAAAATGCAACCACGGTCAATATTTGAACCATAACCGCTTTTGCGTCTTCCTCCGAGTACTTTCCACCCCTAAAAAACATAATTACAATCTCTGTTAGAGACAAATCGTGCGAGTTAAATGATTAAGAAACCTAAGAAATGTTGATATTTGTTACCAAAATTACCACCTTGAAAGTATTCTATCTAGAAGCTCTCCTCCCTCGCACAACCTGAATGTCCACAGAAGTAATGGCAAAGGTTATAAGTTCAGGATGTTACATTAGTAAAATAAAACATACAGCCGAAACACCATAGGACATTTCGAATGATTCTAAAGATGCAAGGCCAATCGAGAAAGCTATGAGAAAACAATGTTGGATCTTCGGAGTGTATATTAATTATATAAGCATATCAAGTAATATACGAGTAAAGTGCTTCAAGCTTACTCCATTACAATGTAGACATTATCATGGTCTTCAAATGCATCATAAAACTGTACTAGATTAGTGCGTCCCGTCAAGGCTCGCAATATTTTTACTTCCCTTCTCACATCCTCGATTGCAATAGCTGTCGTCATCTGGCAATTACAGAAAGTAAGGCTTACAAGTTATGAGAAGAAGAAAAGTGACTAAATTTGGAAGCAAGAAGCTAACATTGAAGCACTGAGATGAATACTGAGCTATAAAAATATCAATCCTCAAATAAGAAAACCAAAACATTAAAAAAGATATAAGCATCAAAGAACCCAACGAACGTATAGAATGAAGCATAGTCAAACTCTAGTAGAGAACACGACTCAAGGTTCATACATCCATAAATATGTGTAATGGCCCAAGCCCACCGCGAACAGATATTGTCCTCTTTAGGCTTTTCATTTCGAGCTTCTCCTTAAGGTTTTTAAAACGCGTCTGCTAGGGGGAGGTTTCCACACCCTTATAAAGAATGTTTTGTTCTCCTCTCCAAATATGTGTAACGGCCCAACCTCCCCCTAGCAAATGCATTTAAAAACCTTGAGAGGAAGCCCGAAAGGGAAAGTCCAAAGAGGACAATATCTACTAGCGGTGGGCTTGGGTTGTTACAAAAAATCATGAAATAAAACAAAGTCAAACATGCACAAACTCGATTCTGTATAGGGCATGCACTCATAGTAGATCCTAGGTTAAGGAGTGTCGTTGCAACTAAACCGCTGGCATGTTTACAGAAACGCTAGGGTTTCTAAAGATGTGATAGTGAGAATTGATCTTCCCACTTGCCATCACACAAGCAACAATAAAACCCAAACGAACATGTCACTGATCCATTATCCAACCAAGGGTGCAACTAATGAACAACGAAACCAGAACACTGAACAAAAGACATGCCAATGACAACTCCAAAGAGTCAAGAAGCACAGTGCACACCCAACTCAAGTCTCTAGTGTAAGGCATCAGAGTATGACAAAATCACAATTACAGTAACCATAGAACATGAACACCAAACAATCTTTAATATACATTTGTGACTCGGAAGAGCTGAGACTATTAGGACTATTAGGACACCAGCATACGCCAAAACAGCAATAGTAGTTACTCGAAAGACTCGGCACCAATCAATCATAATTCTTTCACCATTACAATTTAAGATCCTTAAGGATGAGAGTTACACGTCTGAATTTCTTACAAAGTCATAATATCATTTGAAAAGTCAATTTCGACCCAAATATACAGCAAACATTTTCAAACTGAACACACCCATGTGTTGAAAAAGATAGTGCATACATACAACATGCATAGTGAATTAAAAAAATAAATGAAACCTGTGAGACTACTACTACTACCACTACTACTTGACCCATGGAAAGTGCATTTTTTTATTAAGATACTACGAGTTCTCGTCGAGAAAGTATTTCTAGGAATGCTTTCATCGGTTCAATCAATTCGATTCTCGGTAAAGAAAAAGAACCCCATATTATATTTTGAGAATACTAGTGTGACAAGAACCAACTGGAGGCCAAGAACATTTTCAAATATTTTACTTCATCTCTATCAATATCTTGAGAATGTCACATCTCAAACAGTGAAAAGCCCAATTTCAAGAATATCCAGGAAGAAAATTGGTATCAAGTGGCAAGTTTAATATCATTTCTTATGCAAATCATTGCAGAATTGTTTTCTAAAGAAACATATAATATCTCCTTGATTGTGCTTAGAACAGTAGAAAACCTAAACATAGGGCCTCTGGTGGGCCCAGATAATTCTCATCGTTGACTCGAAAGGAAAGAAAAGCCATCTAAGCCGACCCTTTACGCGTCTCCAATAGCAGAAGAAGTATTCAAGATAAAGTAAGGTTATATTCAATTGCCTAAATTTGTCAATCCACCAGAATCGTTGAGTACTTTCCTATGTGAATATGATCTTTCAATGAGCAGGTCAAACTCTATATTTTAACAAACAGATCGAGTGAGCAGGGCAAATCTCGAGAAACTTTGCTTATTCTTTGCAGATTTGAATTCTACAAGGATTAAAGCAAATGGGTTGTGATTCAAACAGGATCTTATACCAAAATCAGTAGAACCCACCCATTTTTGTTCAGAATTAGCTTTCGTTTAACGAACTATACACCCAAATTTGCAGGAATTTGAAAGAAAATGGGGAATTCAAAATTGAAATTACACTAACCTTAGCTTTAGGAATAACTTTAACAGCGACCTGTTGACCCTTATGCTCTCCTTTCTTGAACTTGGCAGAACAAGTATATCCAAAATGCCCTCTACCCACCTCTTCGCCAATCTCCAATCGACTCGTGAGCTCTTTCGAGAACCCAAATCTCTTATCCAACTCGATCTCACCTTCCTCGTCGCCTTCCTCGGGAATCGCCGCCGTGGAACCCGCCTTCTTCCCAAGCCGTCGCGCTAGCACAGCCCTAATATGCTTCGCTGGAGAAGGAGGAGCAAACGACCGCCGGAAGAATCTCCCAGGAGTAGAGCTAGCACTCTCAGTTCCACCGCCCGGCAACGGCGAGTTTTGACTCTTCTTCTTCGAAAAAAAGTGCGCAGGACTAGGGCTGTAAAATGGAAAGAATGGCGACTGTTTCCCGGCGACGAGATCATCTTTCCGGTAAGGAGTGGAAGCCGATTTGGGAGTCTGAGACGGATCAACCCGCCGCTCATCTGGGTCTCTCGAAGCGTACGGACTCGGCTTCGACGGCGGCTTGGAAGTACATATACCCATCACAAAAATGAAAATCAGTGAAATCGCCGGTCAGCGAAGAACCCTCTCAAATTTTCACTGTTTTGTGAAGCAGAAGGACAGATCAACGGCATAGTATCAAGAAATTTAAAGGGTTTTGGAAGAGGAGAGAGAAAATGATGGGTTATTAAGGAGACGAAGAAAGGGATTTTTGTTGCAGAGATTTTGAGAGAAGAAGGAAAAGAAAAAGAGAGGAGGATGAACTGAAAGAGCTGAAGGAGTGAACCATCTAGCTGTACATCTTCATACCAAACTGGCCACGTGTCAAGCAAAATGATATATATATACATATATATATATATATATATAGTAGACTAAGATTTAAATTAAAATATTAAATATAAATACTTATTTATTTACATAAATAATAGAAACTTTAACAACATATATATATATATATATTTTTTTTTTTTTCAATTTAAACCTAATTTAAAATAAAAGAAAATTTACCTCGTAATCCAATCTTCAACACAGGGATTCTCGAAAAAGGGTAATGTGGCGGGGTTGTGGACGGGGAATGCATCCCGACCCACCCCACTATCATCCCTAGTTATAATGTATTTAAGCTCGAGTTTGGACATTTACTTTGACTTTACATTAACTACAGTGAGTTGAGCCATCAATAATCATTTGAACAGATGAAAGAGACTTTAAAATAATGGTTCAAACCGCATTAAAATCGTACAAATTTCTTTGTAAAAAAAGTTTACACGGTCTATAGGACTATAAGTCGGTTCGCACAACGTTTAAATTGATAAATAAAATTAATTAAAAAAATTAAGAATATTTAATGCATTTATTAGGGGATGGTTAGGTTAGGAAGGCAAAATAATAGAGGGGTAGATTGGATTAGAGAAGGGTAAGCATGGTCCCAATCACAAAAGACAGGACAATTTTGTACTTTCCACCCATAGATATAAATTTGTACATATTACATTATAGAATTGCTTATTTTATTATTAATAATTGTGGTTCAAATATCTTGGTTTAAGCTTTGAGTGGGGCCCATTAATAGACAATTTTTAAATTATCATTTTATTTTATTATATTAATATCATATTTTATTAAAAAAAAAAAATACTTGTGTATTGGAAATGGTGTCTTGAAATTCTTTGGGATTTGGCTTTATGTATGTATGTATGGAAGCATTAAATCAATTTCAACCCTTCCATTTTTAAAATAGTTCGGAAGGTTTGGATCTGTTTCAAACATGTTTTGTCGTTACTCACATACATGGATTCTAAGAATGTCATTATCCAACATAGAATTGCTCTGAATAAAACACGCTTAATTAGAGAATTTCTATAGTTGAGTTACTAACGTCTGATTCAGATATACTATCGAGTTTTTTTTTTTTTTTTTGGCCCACATGAAATGTTGAGAAATATTGGAACAAAAACATTGGGGGATAGTTTATGGGTCATTATTGTGTTTCTTAGTCTCTTATGTGAAGACACACCACAAATTATCCCAACTACTTTTGTTTTTATCTTTTCATTATTTTCTTTTCAAATTAAAGTACACTTTTCTACCTTTATTTACTTTCACTTTATGCATTTTTTTTTTACCTTTATTTTTATTTATTTATTTTAATACTCCTTTTCTTTTATTGGATGAATACCAATTATATAAATAAATTAAAAATGAAGTTTATTATTTAGCTCTCCACTTAAATACAATTTAATTTATCATAAATAATATGTAAAGAATTAAAAATAAAAATGGAATTTAAATTGAATGTATATTTTCATTGATATTCATACCGACAGGAAAATATAAATTAATAAAATATATTATAAATCAAATCATAAAGAAAAAAAATATTAAGATATAAGATCTAAGATATATTCTATGAATAATAATATTGTTAAGGATAGTTGACCGTTTATTATATGGCAAATATCGATATTTGTCTTACGCTTACCATATTTGTCATTTTATTAAAGTCAAACTTATTGTATTCATTTATTATCCTTTCTTTTTATTGTTTTTTTCCATATAAATGATTATAAACAGATAACATTCACATTCACATGGTGTCGCTTCAACAAACATTTTCATATATAAATAAAATTTTAAGAATCTCAAATACATTAGATTCATACGAAAGAAATTAATATAATATTAAAACTATGTATTTATTTATAATTAAAAAAGTCAAACTGAAAACAAGATTATGAAGTATTTTTTCAATATTATTTTATTAAAATAAATAAAATCTAAGTTCTGTCCATGTGCACTACCTCAGTGATAACTTAATCATTAATTTGGCAGTTAACTCTGTAAGAGAAAATAAATTAATAATTGAAACTACATCGCCTCATAAATTAATTTTTAAATTTGATTAATTAAAGTCTTATTTAATAATTATTTAGTTTTAAAAAATAAATTTATTGATGTTATTTTTAATTATGTAATTTTTTTTTTTAAATTTATTACACTCCGTAGACATAGCAAGAATAATAATCATCTAACTACACGTGAAAAGCGAATAAAAGGAATTTGGAATAGGTATACAATCTTGGACAAGCATGAATGAGACATCTGACACACGACCACAAACAATATGTCTTGGACAAGCATGACCGTGACACTTTAAGTTAGATCTTGACATTTTCATTATTTTTAAATTACTGTTACTTCATTTTCACTATTCTATTAATGTTTACTTTTATTTGAAATGAGTTTTTGTAAACGCTTAAGTCAATAACGTTATTTACATGGGTATGTTTCTAAATAATTTTTATACACATTAACCGTATCATGCATATAGTAACGACTTTTATTTTAGTAGTAAAAATAGGATCATTACAATTCATTTACTATTATTCAAACTTTCCATCATAATATATAATATAATATAATGTTACTTATATCATTAACTCGATCAATTTATTAATCCACATATTCTCTCTCATTTCTCTTCGACACTTTGCAACCAAGGCGTTATCGTTGTTTGATGCTCGTTTAGCTTTGATCGTTTCGATTGCATTTCAACTCACTATTGAAGAAACGAGTCTTGATCTAGAACAAGAATATATATATATATATATATTTATTGAATTAAGTTAGTTGGGGGAAATTTGAAAAGAATTTAAGTTATTTGTGGGGGAAAACAAAATAATGGAAAGTTTGGTGGGTTCAAATTAATGTGACCGTTGAGGTAAGCTTTTGTTTGTAAAAAGGAGGAATTATTTTTGTTAAGCTTTTAATTTTTCCAACTACAATTATCACACATCATCATGAGTTTTTTAAAATCCTACGTGGACCTCTCCACTATTTTTTAAAATCCTACGTGGACCTCTCCACTAAGTCATCAACTAACTATGTGGGCCACCACCCAGCAACATACACATTCCCATTTTAACCTTAAATTTGAAAATTAATTTTTAATTTAGGGTTTAATTGGATAAAATTAATTTTTTTAAAGTGAAAATTAGTGGTAAACGTGATTATTATTACTATTTTAGGAATATTTTATTTTATTTTTAAATAGGAATCTTGATTTTTGTTTTATTTGGAGAGAATTAAAACATTCAAAATTTGGCGCCTTGTTTTTTTTTCTTTTTCTTTTTAAAATTAAAATATGTAATTTTGTTTTTATTATTTTTTTTTAATATTTAACCTTCTCTATACACCTATCGAATTTATTTTCAATTTCTTTTTTTAAATTGCAAGGTAGATATTAGGCTCATATTTAATGGGCTTATAACTTGGGCCTTATATTTAAATGGGCCGGTCCATTAAACTTCGCTATAATTGAAACTGATTTCTTCTTCCTCCGCCATTCGACAATGACCTCCGACGGCGTGGTAAGAGAGAATGTGGATGATCTGGGGATGGGTCCGACTGATGCTCTCCAGGATGCAATCGAATCCTTAACTCTTCAATGCGTTGATCTCTCAGGTGATTTCCGATTGTTGTTCTTTCCTGTATGCAGGCATTGTGTGAGATGCGTTAGCTCGAGAGATCACCCTTTGGTACCGAGCTTGGAGAAGCTGAAACAATTGGGCGTTGATTGGAAGGATTGAATTAGTGATGAGGATTTTGACGAGATGGCGTTGTTATTTGATAGGATATCAGAGATGTGTGAATTGAATGAGGAATGGGACATAATTGCGTTAAGAAATGGGGGATTGGAATTGCTCTGTTATCTCCGTTCCAAGATTCCGAGTGATTGCGAGCGTGCTGTTGCTTCCGCTTTAAAGGCTATGGGGCTACTACTTCAAGGTACCGCGCATACTTCAATTATGGAGATAGGATGATGATCGTAATTGATTTTCTTGAATGAATTTGGTGTTAGGCTATAGCATTACATTAAATTTGTCAATAGAATGTCATGAATATCATATTTGTTTCATTTCGGTTCTCCCCTTCATTATGTTAACGAGGTCATGTTTCTTCCTCATGCAAATTATGATCTACAGTATTCTTGGGGTTTATTTTTACTGTCACTCGATTGATTTGCAAGCCACGACTTACATAATTCTGCTATGGCATCAACAATCTGATATCAGTTCCTGTCTCAAATTCCTTGTAAATTTTTGGGACAGGTAATTTCAATTATACCAACGCGTGCCATTGAAGGCAAAGCTGGAGATCTTGCTATTCAAGCTATGCACAAGTTCCCTTCAGCTCAACTAATGCAAAGGGACTCGCGTGTCACTTGATACGAGTCCTGTAGTCAGGAACCCACTGTACAGGGCTCTCTCAAACTATTTTCTTACATGTCTCTTACTATTTTCTATTGATATTAGCACTGCATATCTTAAGCTATTCTTCATTGATGTTAGCATTACATGTTTCAAAACTATTCTCCATTGACGTTAGCAGCATTACATGTCTCAAACTATTGTGAGTTAAGATGGTGAAGTTGAGATATCTCAACACTATGAATCAACCAGAGAGAATCAAAACGAGTGTTTTTTTTCCCCTTGGAACTTATTTCATAGCATTTCATGGGCCAAGCCACCATATTTTGTGCCATATGCCTCTGAATTAAACTATATAGGTCTATACCCTTGGGTATGTATGGTGCAACAATTGCCTGCCCTGCCCTACTTCCTACTTAAACTAGCACACTAGACAAAGGAAATCCGGTAGTTACAAGAACCTACATGTATGTAGCAAATATACTTGCCAGTTAGCCCTGTTTTGGAGATATTTCACCATGCCTTTTGTCAGTGTGAAGAAACTAGAAAGTTGGGACATTTTAGAGTGTTGTTTTAGGTATGATTCTGAGACGTACGAGTAAAGTTAAAACAGGAATCTATCAGCCATCGATAAATGTAGAAACTAGGAAGAAATGAAAGGACATTAACAGGTGAAGGAGGTCCCCCACCTTAGTCTTGTCTTTGTCATTCCTGTGGGATCCAAAGCCAACCCCACAAGAAACAACCTTCAATCTCCTAATAAATACGTTATTTGATGTGACATTTCATAATAATAATAATAATAATAATATAAGTAACACAACAGCAAAAATTTTAAAACCCTGCTCAAGAAAGGGGGAAAAAAAACCATAATGATTTCTAGATTCAGACCAGCCTAAAGTTTTCTCTGTAGAACATCCAAATTCCATAAAAATTTAAAAAGAGGAATAAAAGACAACAAATAATGTATATTTTAACCTCAGGTTATTTCATCTGGACAAAATTGTTTGAATGGAGTGTTTCATCCAGCTTTAACATCTTATAACTTAAAACACCAGTGCACTAACGACCCTCGGCCATCAAAGTATCGATTGATCTCGTGCAGGTGAAACTGTGTATGAAATCTAGCTCTCTACTCCATAACCTTGATTGAAGATGAAGAGACTATCAGCCAAAACATGATATAGAGAATGAACAAGCAAAAGATGTTGCAGGTAATAATCTGAAAAACCCCACATACCCATCATAGCTACTGGAACATCTTGCTATATGCTTTTCTTTCTTGATTACGTCTGTCGACAATCTGCATCAAATACCACACAAACCCGTCGTTCAATACACGTGTCATCTCAACCAAAGAATTTACTTTCATTACCTTTTTCCTTGCAGCAGCGAGCTCTTTCTTTATTGCAGCTGAAACTCGAAAAAGTGGCGAGTCATTAGCAAAGTTCAAAACACAACAGAGGATTAAACATAGAACAAAAGTTGAATGTTCATCATAGCAAGAACTAGAAAACCTTATCTACGTCTTCGAGGATGGATGATCCCATTCGAAGAACAATACAACTTCGATTTAAAGGATTTTCAAGCAATCCAATCCAATTGAAGATCTCTCCTCCAATCTCTCTCTGGGTCATGTTTTCAGCAACACATACTCAACTCAGAGAAAGACAGTGTTCTAGACAACATTTCATGGCAGAGAAGAGAGGGTGCTTCAAGAATATTGCCATTAACACCAATAAAATAAGGGAGGAAATGTCCAAACCCCTCTTGGTTTTCAATTTCAGACTACTGATTGACTCCAGTATGATATGAGATGGTTAGTTTCCAAATCCTAACATCTTCCTTCTATGATCAATCGTGTCGTGCAAATCACGAAATCTAACAAGAAGATATTTGAATATACAACACGAAATATAACGAAACATCAACAGCAACACTACGATAAAAAAAGCTATTACCGTCATTTGGCTCCAAATCCAATGCCTTTTTGAAACTTTCGACAGCGGAATCGATGTCATTAAGAGCCATGTATGCCTGGATATGGAATGAATTCGAATCATCAGTAAGCATAAGTATGCAATAGGGGGTACCCTTTGCAAATGGTTGCAAGCAGTGTGTAAAAGGAGGCTAACATAAAGTAATACTCAATACAAAGAATGGGTAATCATGAAGCCATAAACAGGGGAAAAATGATATTATGCCTTGCAACCCTTTGAGCCATTGCCATCTTAGCCACACGAAATACCAACCTGACCTTGGCGAAACAAAGCTTTTACATTATTGTCTCCGTCACGCATTGCAAAATCGGTGTCCAACAACGCTCCTTTTAGATCCCCTAATTTCAACTTACAAGCCTACATCAACAAAAGAGCCAGTGATGAAAAAGTCTAAAGGAAGAAGAGAACCACTTCTTAGTTTCGAGGTTAAAAAGGACAACGAAAGTTAATCGACCACTGCAAGCAAGAGAATAAAGTTGGCACTTCCCGATTTCAGGAACGTTCCCGAACATTTTATAATTTACAAAATCAGATGTGGTAAATTCTATAAGATCCAGGATATTCTACTGTAAAAATGTTAAAAGATCCCTACCAAGTAATATGTCCACAAAAATTACTTTGAATCGAGAAACATCCTTAAACTTGTTCGGTTTATTATAACAATTGTCTGTCAAATTACCAACTCAAATCGACTGTCAAATAAGTATGTCACAAATAACTCAACAAAGAAAACGAAATACATTCACTCGGACACGTACCGAACTGTTTGTGAAGATCTGTGATTTTGTCTTTCTAAGATATGAACTCTTCTCTGCAGATTCGAAGGGAAAGACGAGGAGCAATTAGCGGAGTGTCAGTGAACTCACACATACTTCGATATCAAGGTATAGTTTTATGATACTACCAATTATGTCAAAGGGGGGAAGATTATACCTTCGTCAATTCCTTCTTTTTCCCAGCAGATATCGAGGTAGCGTAAAGCCTTCCGATACTTTCTAAGAGCCATCTTGTAGTCTTGCTTCTGTAAGGAAAGAAACCCATCATTAAAATTCAATGATAAGCTAACGGAAAATCTAAATCCAAGGTTCCTTCTCATCGAGGTTTTATCGAAATAAAACGTGAATGTGAGATGGAATCTGATGCCAATACCTTGTAATGCTCATTACCAAAAACCTTCACAGAATCTACAGCATTCACCCACCATTCAAGTTCACTAGGTGTCTGTTCTAGATCAGCTGGCCAATCAGGAAACGTATCCCCATCATTGAAAAAGTTCGAAATCCCGTCATCTGCTCCCTCAGGAATTTCTCCACAATCCACAATAACGACGTCCGCAGTAGGGCGATCATTTTCACCAGTAGTAACATGTTCAATTGAACGAACAACGCCCATTCCTTTCACAACCTTCCCAAACACTACATGTTTCCCGTCTAAATGAGAAGTGCGAGTAGTACTTATAAAAAATTGGGATCCATTTGTGTTGGGACCAGAATTAGCCATAGATAACATTCCTTTCCTTTCATGTTTCACCTCGAAATTCTCATCGTCGAATTTCATGCCATATATAGACTCTCCACCAGTACCATCTCCAGCAGAAATATCTCCACCTTGTACCATGAACCCTTTTATAACACGATGGAAACACGACCCCTGAGCAATTCAAATTGATTGAAAAATAAACACATGAGCATTCACGAATCCAGTTCAGAGTAAGACAGAACAAATTCTAATCAAACAAGTGAAGCTAGTTGCAACAAATACCTAAGAACAGTTCCAAGAAATAATCGACATACGAGAATGCAAAACAATATTACGAAGGTCATGTTAGGAATCACAGACTCTCCACAATGATATGATATTGTCCACTTCGAGTTTACTCTCATGGCCTCATACTAATGGAGATGTATTCCTTTCATAAATCCATGATCAACCCTTTAATTAGCCGATGCAGACTACTCTCTCAACAATCCTCAACAGGTCAAATGTCTGTAATCGACATTTTTAACAAACACGACTAACTGGAGACCTCGAACAAAACACATGAAAGAAGAAACAAGACCCTGATTGTAGGAAAAACTAAACCCAGCTCTTCAAAAACACATCCTAAGAACATAAATCGGCAACAGCTAAAATATCATCTGCAAGTACAAGAACACCACTGTTTTATTACTGATCAAGGACAGAGACTCCATCATTCCACAGACGTTCATAAAGGAAAGAAAATCCAACATCCACTGAACTAAACAAATTATACCAAAAAGGGAAAGATCAATAGAAGTATTCACATCCAAAACACGTAAATACAAAGAAACCCAGTTCGCATTGAGATAATCATGCACAGACGAACACAAAACACCATAAAAATAGAGAAGAAACGACCTTAAAATGAAGAGGAACACCCGTATGAGGACCAATTCCCTTCTCGCCAGTGCAAAGAGCTCTGAAATTCTCAGCTGTTTTAGGCACCACATCGTCATAGAGCTCTACCACAATTCTACCCTCGAGATCACCTCCAATACTGATATCCAAGAAGCAACGAGGGCGCCCCATCTCCTTCTGTTCGTCAATTCTCACCCTGTTTGGCCTTGACCCAATATATAAAACGAGTTTCTAGAGAGTTCCAACGCGTTTCAACAAGCTACTGAAAACAGATTCGCTCTACCTGGGAGAACGTGAAAATGAAGACAATCGATTAACCCTAAAAGGCCGGCCACTGTGTATTTTGAATTCCACAGATCTTTCTCTCTCTACCTCTATTTTTATGGGTCTGTGGAGTGTGTCAGTGGGTGTCTGTCTCTCTCTCTCTCTCAAGAAGAAATTCAAAGGGAGTGGGTATTAGAGGACCAAATTCAAAGGAGGCTTGGTTATGGAAGTGTGGGGTAATGAAACGTAAATGCAAGGGGAAACGATGAAGCTTTGTGTCTGTGGGGATTGCTCAGATTGAGAAGATATGAAGATGGCCCTCGTGCGATCGCTGCATTTTTATTGTCGATCCTCGTTGTTCCCTTTTGCCACCATCTCTTACATACACCCAACTCATTCAATTTCTTTTTTATGCTTTTTTTAATTTTAATTTCAGAATTTTAAAAATATTTCAAAATACCTTATGATTATTATGATTCTATTTATTTATAATAATTGCACAAATCATTCCGTTTGTTATAATCACATATTTTAAATTTTCATTCTTTATATTTTGTTAAATATTGCACTCTACTTTGTCATTGATCTTAAATAAAAATAAAATGGTCATAAATCATTATT